TACTACTACTACTACTACTACTACTACTACTACTACTACTACTACTACTACTACTACTACTACTACTACTACTACTACTACTACTACTACTACTACTACTACTACTACTACTACTACTACTACTACTACTACTACTACTACTACTACTACTACTACTACTACTGCTCCATGAGGAGATCTGTACTAATACTACTCATTAAATATCTGTAGATTATAAAATGGTCGTAGTTAAAATGCTTCATATGTGTAATATTTCTCAACTGAAACAATTTCAAAAAGGAATTTTAAATCAATAGAAAATATTGAACTTATATTAATCAGGAATAACAATCCTGAAATGTTTGGAATGAAAAATTCACCTACAATACTTATCGTCGAAACCACTTTTTGTGCACTAGAAAGGTATAAATGTGGTAGGGTAATTTGAGGATAGTCATCCAACCTGATTTCTGAATCGATATGGTAAGTTAGGATGATTTGAATTAGGAATAAGAGGCCTGCGGGAAGAGATGTGCATTCTCGCTTATTAAAATTGCCTTTATTATTTCTAAACAAGGACAAATAATACAGTCCCTTCGAATTTCAATATTAGAAAAATTTATGATTAAATTCAAGTAAATTAATATAAATAACATCCGAAATGAAAAATGGGTTATGTAGTATCGATCTCGGTTACCGATGATATGTGTTCTATGTCAAGTACTGTTCATTGTATTATAGATTGCTGTTCTATAATTATCATAGCATTTAAATAAGTTTGATGTATCATGCTGTTGTGGTCATAAACGTGTACTTCCATACATGTGTCATTCCCTGTTAAAGTTATCTCTCTCAACAAGGAAGTCTAAAAAATATATTTGTTACGAAGCGATCAATGAATCCAAAAGATTGAAGTGTTAGTCCCTGATCCTGCAATAGAAAAACGTTTTCATGAACAAGACAATTTTGTTCTCGATGCGAAAAAAGAATCGGAAATATCATTTAAATGGTTCCGGAAAATTTTCCCGGAATTACAAATGAATATTTTAAACGAACGACGTTATGTCTAATATGCAAGACAAACTTGTATGCTTCCAGAAGGTTGGATCTGAGTATAATTGTTCAATCTTAGACTAAACTAACTAAGCTAAGCTAACTCCATCGTTACTCCTGAGGTACTTTCACGTAAGCAACAAAGTGGAGTGACCAGATACAAATACACATCTCCTAAACTTTTCTTTCATATTTCAGTTTGCCTCAGAGCAGATCTGCTTTATAATTCCTCGAATATTCAACCTGGATAAGGTGGAGCACAGCTATTAAAACAACACTTTCATGAGCAAGCCAATTTTGTTCTCGATACAAAACAAACATGCGGAACAGTGTGCGGAACTGCAGTAACGCCAAAATTAAACATGCAAAAACCACTCATTATCAGTTTTTTGTCCCCTAACTTCTTGTTTGCAGTAACTGGTAGCACAATACAAAATGACTTCTAACATCGGCCCTGTTCTTCATCACAGAATGAAATAAAATGAAATGAAATAATAAAGTGGAAATTTTGAAACGGAGCATGTCAGACTGCAAAATGCGCAAAAAAACACGCTACAAGGATTAACTATTAAAACAGAAGTGAATAAAAACAGGATATATTAAACATAATAAATACACATGGATATATCCATTCAGCGGTATGTGCTAATATAGTTTTCTCAAAAGCAACTCTTTCATTGTCTTACTTAACATTCAACTTACACAACTAATCACTTACTACTGCTAGCTTTTCTATGAAGAATTTCACTCATTTTTATATGAACATCTCGTCATTTAACATGGTGTTCTTAAGAGAAAATTTGTAATCGTGACTCCATTTCGGAAAATTCTCGAGGATAGTTACCTGAGAGCGGAATAGGAGCTGCTTTCGTTTTCAACGAAGTGGAGGGATGATATGAACAAATCATAAAAGGAACAACCATTATGTACAACAGCAAATATGAATAAATAGACAATAATAACATACAAAACTAGCATGCCAAACAAGTCAAAATGCTAGAAAAAATGAATCTCCAAATTTTAATTTCCACATCATTTGTTTATAGTACAAATATTTATTCACCAACCGAAAATCAAAATAGCCTTGTTTCTGCTTTCTGTTATTGCTGGATGCTTGATTGTGAACGAAACATATATTCTGGTCAAAAAAATTAGAATAAGAAAACTGACACCACTGCCTTCCTGATAATATACTAGTACGGTGATTACAAAATCACTTCGTAAAACCAGAAACGCATCCCTCAAAGAATTCAATCAATTCAATTGAATAATCTCTTTTGATGTCTTCATACTGCATACACCACTGTTCACCACTATGTTCACTGCAAGAAAAAACTGTTACCTATATTTCAAAATTGCTAACATTAATTAGCGCTAAATTGAAAGAATTGGTGTCATAGTTGGCATCGTTTCTTTTAAGTAGTCCACGTGTCACCATATTTTTAAGTAGTCCACGTGTTACCACTATGTTCACTGCAAGAAAAAACTGCTACCTATATTTTCAAATTGCTAACATCAATTAGCGCTAAACTGAAAGAACTGGTGTCACAGTTGGCATCGTTTCTTTTAAGTAGTTCACTTTTTATCATATTCAGCATATATTGAGTTAGTGCAAATGATATAATATGAGTTCAAGAATTCATAATTATAGTAAACATAAATCTGCACAACAGCGAACAGTGCTCGCTAAAAGAACACTTACTTTTCAACTAATAACGTCGAGTTTTCAACATTCCGTCCGTTATCACTAACCATGCCGATAATCTTGATTTTTTTCTGCAAAACTGTTGTTACTGCAGTAATTAGTAAGCTAACGATTTCTAGTTCATTTGCTGCGAAATCATTCACCGATGAAATACTGAAACCTCAGTCCATTTTGCATTCACTTTTGATAATAACGGAGATACAAGGGTGCACTGGTGCCTCGACTGAGATAATAGAACCTCAAGAAATAAAGATTGGAAGTAGAAATTTCACTAGATTATCTAGTAATAATGATCCTTTTCGCGCCCCTTTGTTAAACATAATTATAAGCTGGAAGAGTCACCGAATTACGAGTTCGTTTAGAGCCTTGTGCACTAGGTTTAGCAGCTGTTTCGAAAGATTCCGTATTTGTTTCACTGGATTCGCCATTTGAAAAGCTTTTCTGCTTTTCTTTTTCATATGCCTCCACAATTAAAGGAACTTGTGCACTTATTCGTTTTGCCGGTTCCCATGTAGGCCTACAGATAATTTCTATCAAAAACCGTGTACCATAACTATTTACAATTAATTACCCTGTTAATTCTGTACTCGAAGAGGTAAGGATAGAAAATGACGAATATAAATTAGTCCAATTCTCCACTGGTATTTTTCGAGATTTTGGGAACCTACGGAAACCTTCTCGAGATTTGAAAAAAAAAAGCCTGCAGAGCTATCATCGTAAAATAGGACAAGAATTCCTCGTTAAATATTTGCATACAAATAGTTGTTAATGTGATGATTGTGGTAGCCAGTCAAAGATGGCTTCTGCTCACAAAATGAACAGATAATCAGGAATAAAACAATTCATTTTCTTGACATAGAGATGTTTTGAAAATAATTCATTTCCAAATATCGACATCTAAAAAACCTTACGCCCACAAAATTTCGTACAGCTTCTCCAGTCGAGCACCTCTTCTTTCGTATTTCTCGGAGAGAATGCGCTCAACTCGATACCAGGAACTGTCTGCCATGAAATGATACTACCTTCCGAATGCTTCCACGTTAATTTTGAAATATAAAGCGTTCTCTTAAAATAAGTTTGCGTAGACAGCGAGAAAAATAATATTTCACTAGTGCTACATAAACCTACACCTTGCGCCCATTCCATTCCTACACTATCTGATGCTGATTTGGTATCAGAACGAATGCAAACAGCATTTTCCATGTAAAGATCTGCAAACACACATGCACATGCGGAATATAATAACAAAACTGGATGCTTGGAAGTTAAATTGTCCACTTTCAGAAACTTCAGGTCACAAGTACCACAAAACCTTAAGCATATCACAAGTATCACAAAAGCTTCAACATACCACAAGTAAAAATCTCAACCGTACCGCGCAAAAACCTCAAGCCCACTAGTCCATCCCACCACACCAATTTACTACGCTTCGACCGAAACATTTTTGCATCAACATTCAAATCCGAAAGTCGCGGGAACCATGGCCCTGCGGCCCGTTAAAACTATGGATGCAACACCGAACATCACTAATGGGTGCATCACACGTGATGTTTATCGAACATCCCAAATATGATTCTGAACATATATATATGTCCATCCTAAATTATCCAATGATAACGCAAATCGTAACTACACACCTTTTTTTGCCTCCTGTTTTTCCATTCTGATTCAAAAGCACGTTACCCACGTCGTCATATATGTAAAAGACATCCGAAATGTTTAGTCTTCAGTCACTCACATACATGGAAGAAAAGACGTTATGACTCATCCATATTTATGCAAATTTCTACTAACTATGCAGCATTAATCACTATGTCAATACAGCTCTTACTCCGTTAATTTTTGACAAGGGAAAAGAGGGAAGGAGAACTTGATTCTCTTGAGCATCAAGAAAAATTACACAACAGCAAATGTTTCAGACCATAAAGATTTAGCAAAGAAAATGAAAGGGGAAGAAAAGGACATCCCGCGCCAGTTGATAAGCATTCCCTGTCAAAAGTAAAACTTGCACAGCAAAATCCTTATCAATGATATTATCAAAATGGTCACTGTCTGATCAACATTGCAATAATCGCTATCAACATCAGTGCAAAATACAACAGCAGCAATGCTAAATTCAACAGGTAAAAAGTATATACACAGAAAATGCAACAAAACCAATAGATCCAGAAAATTATATAACAGCAAATGTTTAAGTAATACTATCGAAAAACTTGTCGTGATAGATAGAAATTTCATTTTACCTAAATTAAATGGATGCAAGAATCCTTCTCCTAGATTACCATAAAACAAGGACAAAATTCAATGCAAAATTAGCCAGTTTTAAGCGAAACAACACTTATTTTCTCTTACGATGCAGAAAAAAAAAGAAAAAAGAAGACAAAATAAGATTAAGTGTATAAAATACCCAGTCCAAGTCATCCGTGTGAAAAGTGTAGAGAAAAACGGTAATTTAATTACGGATGAAAAGAAAAATCATTACCACGTTAATGTAATCACTTCATCTTTCCAGATTATTAAGACTTCAAGCCCCCGCATATTTTTTAGGCTTTCCATTGTCGCACTTCTTACAAACATCCTTGTTCATACTTCAATTAGATCTTTCAGTAAATTAATTGTGGTCTCTGAGCTAAATTAAGACTTCAAGCATTTCAAATCTTTTGTAGCCTTGATATATTTTTGAAGCAGATCTTTATTATTAATAATACTGTACTGCAGATGGAACAGGTGAATGATAACATAGCAAAAAAGTTCGAATTACAAAATACCTAAACTGGGAATTTTCAATGAAATAAAATAGTCATGAATGAATATGAGAAATATCCAAAAAGAAGAAAGCAAAAGAGAATTTTCTGGGCAAAGTTGCGAACTTCGTTTACACTTCTTAATTTGCTTTAAAATGATACATATTTCGTGCAAGTGTACAGAATGAAACTTACTAGTAGAAAGGCTTTTTCATTTCACCTTTACTCAACCATAAGTGATTTTGAAACGATGCCCAAAGCAATTCAAATTAAAAGAAAAAGACATATCTCTCCTAAGCATTTACAACATATTCTTACGACGTTTATAATCTTCGAGACTTAATGGTCTAGATGATCCTCTATTTATTGTGGATCGATTACTGCCCAGACCAGAGTGTCTTGAATTGACATCCACTGAAGTGAATGACGGAGCACTAGAAGACAGTGTCATTGCTGCTGAAAACAAACGATATCTCAAGAAAACAGATAAAGCAAGACAAATTATGATTCGGCCACTCAAAATTATACTTATCTTTTGACTATAAAGAAGTTCGGATAATGTTAGACTTCTACTTCACTCTGTTAATTGACTGAAAAGTAATCAACAGCACTAGTCATCAAAATCTCACTGGATGCAATTTATTTTTAGCACCTCATTATTTAATACTGAAAGAGTAGACCGTGCAATGAAACCTCAATACTTTGATGTTTTGTTCAGTCAAGTGCTCATTGAATGAAGTATATTTACCCGGTATGGCAATGTCAATATCAACATCGAAATTATGAGCATTGAAAAGATCCGAAACAGGTCCACTTGAGCTTCGCGCTCCAACTGCACTGACGGCTTCTTTCTGAGACGATAGCTTTTGATCATTCAGCTCAGTAACAATCGACTGTGAGCTTGGTGCGCAATCTTTAAATGATATGGGAAATATTGTAAACAAAAAGAAAAATATAGATGTTTTGCAAAAGAGTTCTAACGAGAATTACCAATTAATTAATTGTCTTTCGCAAAATTTAGCTTAAAGACATTGTGTGAGAGTGACAAATTTGAATCTAAGCATAGAAAACTTAAAGACATTGTGTGAGAGTGACAAATTTGAATCTAAGCATAGAAAATTTCCCAGAGTCAGAGATTTCTTTTTCCGTTAGAGCTTGACGGCAAATAATACAATAATCGATAAAAAAAGTCCCTAGAGTCAACATGCAAGAGAAGAGATCTCTTTTTCCGTTAGAGCTTGATGGCAAACGATATACCATCAGTAGTCGAAATGATCTTTTTGATCAAATTCAAGAATGGTATCAGGCACGCGTCTGCCATGTACAATACTTATACTAATTGTCGTATATTTCTAGTCAAATAATATTTTCACACGTTTCTTCATCACATTCTATCAACCCTTAACTTAAATCTTGTTTTATGTGGTGAAATAATCATAAAACCAAAGATCATAAAGAAACAATCTTCTTCAAGTGGACAAATCTCACAAAACGTGAGGGCTTAAAAATAAAAAAAGATACAAAAAACACAGTAATGAAAACTTACATTCATCATTATTGCTAGCGTTTGCATCTCTCTTCTCATTCAATTGTTGAGTCATTTTATCTCTTCCAGGAACAGGCTCAAATTAATATTCAGAAATTGAAAATAATGCTTTCTAAACAGTATAAATTAGCGAATAGCGAAGCTATTGATGTTCTGAACCCCGAAAACGCAAAAGTTGGTCGGCACTGATGATGTTTTGGTAACAGTTGCGCAGCAACCGTAAACTCAATATTCAATTTTAGAGTATTACACCATTATGCAACTACAGCTATGGTAACTACGGCTACCGTAACAAAGGAATTTGCATGCTTATGGTAAATATTGAAAAATAAGGAGCAGAAAAAGGAAACCTTCATTCGCGCATTCTTTCGAGTGAATGGATCATCTTGACTGGAAGTTTCAATATGTACTTGGCCACTAAGAATAGCGTCTTTGATGGCTTGTCTGTTACGTTGATTGATCCAACTAATACCACGAATACTTTGTGAACGACGTCGTTCCTGCAGTATGATCATTTTGAAGAGAGAACAGTTTCCTGTGTTGGTACTTGTTTGTCTAATAATTTCGATTATCAATAACTTTTAACTTGAATATTTCGTATAGGCCAGCCAAATGTACGAATTTACAAGAAAAGAGAAAGTTATGGGTTTTATAAAAAAGAAAAAAAAACTTTTCTATTTAAATGTATTATTTAGTACTGCACCAAATATATTGAAAAAATTCACAACAGTGTACCAATTCAGCGGCTCTTGCTTCCAAATCATCAATTTGTAGCTGCAATATCTGTACTTCCTCAACATTGCCATACTGTTCGGCTTCTTGCTATAACAAGAAAAAAGAATTTAGAAGAAATCCCGCTATTCCGAGAATTCCTGAGCTAAGATATTTGTACAGAAATATAAGGGATAGATAGATACAAGACCAAATGTGACAGTTTACTAATTCTACAAAAACATTCTTGTTTATCGCTCTTTGTATATTACCTATTAGTTTCCCATTATTTCAAAACTTTTTTTTTTTTTCTTTGAGAATCTGAAATGTCTCTGAGCAAAATGATCAGATTAGTCAGTGTTAAGACGAGAAAAGAGAGAGAGAAGTCATGAAGTTTTCCGCAGAGATCACTGCAAACATACCATAAGTTGTTCATAATCAAATATCCCTTAAAATGATCTGCTTAGAAAAATTCCCAAAAACGAACTGTGTTATACTAAGAAAAACTTTGCCAAGTTAGACTGAAAATTTAGAGACTGAAAGTTAACTTAATGCCAAGTGGATAATACCTCTACATATGCCTACAGTTCCATTCACTACTCGTCAATGCTATACGTGGATAAGTTTACTTTTGGAGGATTCAAAATATCTTTGAAGTATGAGTGTAAATTGGAGTATACAAAGTAAACTGTTGCAGGTAATAAGAATATACTCAAATAGACTCTATCCCTTCTGAATATTCACTCGAACATCTACCACACATATATGCACATTACTGTTCTAAAGTTATATTCATTTTTGTATTGTTGGGATGAAATGTACAGCACTGGAATTTTAGAATATTTCCGTTTTAATTTTAGCACAACATTTTCAACCCACTTCAGTGCGATCGGACTGTAATATCAGAAATCGCAGATGAATTTACTATGTAGTCAAAGTCAACAACATTAACTTATGCCTCAGTGATTTCATATTGTAGATTTCCATTCGCATATCGAAAAATAAAATCAGATAATGTTTTCCGGAATAAAAACACGAAGGTAAGAGAAAGAAACAATGCATTTTTATCGTCCACCTTCCCTTCCACTTTTCCCCAGCATCGTTTGCCAATTCTCAAGAAAAAAAAAGAAAAAAAAATCCACAACATAAAGCCATTTTGACATACTTTTCGCAAAAAATCTTCAAAACACAAGGATTTTTCATTAATATAATTATAATCAAATGAAAGGAAATGGAAAGGTCAGAAAATGAAAGCTTTTGAAAAAGCTAATTATATTTACTTTCAGTAGCAAAATGATTGCACTACTGGCTTTAAATTTTAAATCTTAAAATATTGCTTTAATCCATTTATTTTGCTCTTTTATTGTCAGAAAGTCGACTAGATCTGTAAGCTTTCATTGTTTCTTAGGTATCAGAAATTAGTTCCGAAAACAGCAACCGCTAAAGTTAAAAGGTTTAGTTGAAATTGTCCATATATAGCCCCCGAATACTACAAAATTCATATTAAAATTTTATGTTATTCAGGACCCAAAAGAATTAAACAGCCATAAGTCATAAGTTGACAGTGTACATTTGTAGATAACAAAAACCGGTATCTACATTATAGCACTAGCATGACACCTCCGAAATGTTTCAACACCACAATATCAACTATTATTTGTCGTGCGGCCAGACCAATTCAACCATCAGTCGATAACAAAAAGTTCGATGATCAAACAATCAACACTCGGTTATCTAGCTCTCACGGTTATTGATCACTAGGAATTTCATAGAAAGCCCAAAATAATCGAAAAGCAACAATTCCGTAGCTCGGTCAACCATAAAATATTTTTTAAATGAAATTATATACAAACCATATATTATTTAGAAATTGGCATTCTCTCTCTTCTAATTACCTAAGTTCCAACTATCAATAGGAAACATTTTCATTAATTGCTTCTAGTTGGCCTTCCGAAAACACTGTTTCCATGTTAAACAATTCCCGATTTTTAATACTGCATTTTTCACTGAAAGTTAACTCGGATGAATCAATATTCTATATAACTCCAAATTTGTTAGGCACAGATAACTATTCCTCTCCCTTCATAACGTTAAATATTTACATTATTCAGAGGTAAGGAAGAGCAAGATTATCTTCAATACATATGATGCAATCAAAGACAGTGTAGCAGAAAAGTCTTGAATCAGTAAAAGTCGAATTAAATTACTTACAACAATAAGTAAAGCAGTTTTATTAATATAACTTATTTCAAAGTTAAATAAAAGAATAATTTATAAAATGTGAAATGTTATATCATTCAAAAATACAGCAAATTTTTCCTTACTTTCTCCGAAATTATTATTCACCCGACTCCCTCCAATTTCTGCGCTCATATATTCTCGTATTCTTCGAAATTTTAGTTATTTGCAGATGTTTTTTTATCGCTTCAAAACTGAAAAATTGCTGTCAATTTTTTCTTCAAAGAAACTAAATGATGTAGGGAAAAAGGAGTAAATGTGCGCATCCTTTCGGTTGCCATTCTATTACTTTCTTATGAAAAATGAAAGGGCAAATTGCTTACAGCCTTCATGTATCACGATCATTTAACAAAGAAGTGCAAAATTTAGAAAAAGCACACAACAGGCTGAGCCGAGTTTCAGTGACTGATTTTGCTTCTCGATACTTTATATCATCAATACTACTTTTGAGACTGTTTTCTTGACAAATCATCAGCAGTGTCAACTAAAGAATAAAGGTTAATCATATTTTAACAGTATCAACACAAGAACCAATAAACTGGTAATAAGATTGGTAACATCTTTATGTAAGAGGATCAGATGATTTCATACAAATTAAATTGCAACACCGATGGTCGAAATGAGGAACTCCTCCAGCAATTATACTGATATTTTTGACTGATGATTACCTTCCTCCTCTTTCAATCAAGAATATCCGACCTCACAAACAGCATTCTTATCCGAAAAATATTTAGTGACAACCGAAATCATTTTATTTGCAGTCTTTATATGGTGAAATATATCTTGTATTAATCCTCATCCGGAAAGTAGGAAATGAGTTCATTCATTAATTATTTTCGGCAATTCCAGATCATCGATTAGTCGAATGGGAAAGATTATGGGACGATTTGCATGTATCGTAAGTTTTGGAGATAGAAATGAATGAGGTTTGGACCGTTGACCATTCGGATAAGAGAAATTGTCCGTGTTATGGAAATGAGAACAACTCTACCTCCACTTCATATATCATTTTATTTCATTCACTCGCAGATCAGCAGTAAAAACATATGTTGTACACAGGCAATTCCCTGAGATCGTCTTTTTTGTCCATTATATTCTTTTGTACCGCCTGTATCATCATTATGTGAACAAATTTTTCAGAAACATATTTCAAGAAATGCTTAGGCTACCAATAGTTAACCCATTTATTGCTTCCGTAATTGCTGCGTACAATCGAGATCAAGAACAAGCAAAGTGGCTTGGCTTGAGACGATTGTGCAATTATGTTCTCATATGATGACAATATTAATTTCCTCCCTACCGTTTAAATGGACATTGAGCAACGACGTAACTCAAACTGAGGATAGTAACAACAAATTGGTAATGTACTGCTGCTGCTGCTGTTGTTGTTCTTGTTAAGGATTGCATTCCTCCACATCACTTCAATTAACTAACTCCATCATCATCATGACAATGGCAAGAAAAGGTCTAGAAAGGAGGGGATAATATGGTTGATATGTTGAAAGTACATATACATCGTTTTGCAAATGACTCCCTGTTTCAAGGTTAATTCGTTCAATTTGTATAGAAAGCGACTCGGTTTGTTCATCATCCTAACCTTTGTTATCTTATCATTATCACTATTGCACATTACCGTAGAGACCATGGACCCAATACCTATGCGAACAATTCCTCAACTAATCAAACGAAACGAAACAAATCAGTCCCAAAATGAACCATCATCAAATAGTTCTATCATTAGGATGATCCACTCATTAAGTGCATGATATCTTCTTTTCAAGTCGGATAAGACCGTGAACAGACTTCCAAGAAGACATTTAAAGAGATTTTGTCCAATCGACCTAATTTAAAGTTAGTAACATTTTGGACCTTATTAAAACCTTTATATTATATTAAAATCCATCACTCGACTATAATTTCTAGCAAAGTCAAAATTAAACAACAATGTAATTTAGAATAGATCGCCAGAATTTCCATGTAAAAAAAGATCAGATCTATAAAAATAATTCAACTAATAAACATGCCATTTGTCATCTCATTTTATCGCTATGTATTTCACTACGTTATCTCCATGTTTTAACTGACATATTTAGGTTACTTACCATGCCTCTATTTTACCGTTTATAGTCATTACCACTGACACACTAGTTTTATTACTACCAGTTCCTCGTCACTGCTATTATTTCCGTCACATCCGCGTCAACAAAGATATTCCTGAACTTTTCACAAATTTATTCATCATTATGCATTTTCATTGTTTATTTATCATAGCGACAGCGGCAGCACTGACAAACCAACTACTGGATGAATAAAGGAAATAATTTAATAAGTAGCATAGCCCGTTTAAGACGACTATGTGCAGAATGTCTTAACTAGCAGAAAACCGAAGCTCTGTTTCTACAAGATAAAGAAATAATTTCGCTCATATACATTTCTAGCTCCCATTTCACAAGAACTTATTTCAAATCGTTATTTTGTACCAATGAATTAAAAAGCACAAGCTGCGTGGCTTATACTACCTACAGTTGCTCCTCAAATCTTGCTATCAAATCCTTACTAATCAAATGATTTAAACAATTTAAACAGACTATTTAACTTTCATCTTATTTTCGAATTAATATTCTCCTCTGTAAATCTGTGCATGCGGTAGTATTTTGGGAAGGAAATCTTGGTCACCAGGATTCAAAGGAATGCTACGAAGTACGATCTCTTACTTTTGTATCATGACTGCACATCCGGAGTTTCTTTGAAATGCCAACTTTCAAATCATTCCGTCTAGATTTCTCCTGATTAGGAGCTATCTAACTACTACTTTCTGCTATCTAACTAGAAGGTACAACTGTATAAAAATACTCCAGATGATGGCGAAATGG